AATGTGACTTTAATGAATCTTTCGATGTCGTTGTAACTACGTACCAACTTCCTTTTGAAACTTGTAGATTTTCCCGACCTGCAGATGATAATATTGATAATATTCCGACCGGGAGTTAGCCTTAAAGTACATGTCACTTTCCACCTTCCTCACGAACGCGACGACCAAGTTGTGTATTCTTTTATGAACCATAGATTGTGAATCGGGATTCGGGAATATTGCTTGAATCCTGAGAAAAAAAGCAAACACACATGCTGGGACACGAGTTTCAAATGAGTGCGCGCTATTATGTATAATAAAAGTCTCACTAACAATTGATGAACATGATGGTTCCTGATATCTGGAGTGACGGACAGATGCCACTCCTTTGTTCCTTGCACCGGTATCGCTGTGACTTGACTGGATTGAAGACCGCCTGGAAACTGTAGATCCTGTAATCCATTTGGAATAACCTGTATACCGACAGCGGCCGCTGCGTCAGTGGCTGTAGGTCCGGTCGTTGATACCGTCTGATTGCCAGCTACCCCTACTATACTAGGATCGGAATTCAAAGGAAAAGATACGTTCGGCGTGACTACTTGTTGTCCGGCAAAGGCTACGGATTGTCCTGGTGCAACTAAAACACATGACGCTAATTGCTTGTTGTTTTTCGCGTAAAAATCTAAACAAATCATATTTTATATTTTTAACAGAATAAAAAAATAATATAATAAGATATATTTTTACATATGTATATACATTTTATAAAATGTTTTAAATTTGAGAAAAAATTGCAAAGCAGTTAAAAATGTGCAACTCACTCTGTGTCTGAGATTGCGCTAATCCAACGTTGCCCAATGCCCCTGGAGGACCGCCCATCATGCCGGGAGCTGGCATTCTAACGCCCCTACCAATGTCTTGACCGGGTAAAAGCCCCGGTGTTGTTGTCGGACACTGAATTCCTAAAGCATCATAAGCCCATCTCATTTTGGATGAGCTTGGATTTGGCTGATTATTTGGTTGAATTGCGGGTTCTAATAAAAATAATACATACAACATAAATATACATCGCCGAAATATTAAGATGTAAGATATATATTCTTGCACAATTACCTTGCGCAGAAATTGTCCCGTTCTGTGCTTGTTTTATCGGCAAGCAAATCGGACAATCACTTCGTTTACAATGCTTCCAATGACTGATGATCCGCCTATATATTCTACATTGAGGCACGGTGCAATTCTTTCCGGCTTGACAATTCGTCATGTGATTTAGAATATTTTTCATAGTTTTGCAGTCCGGCAAGGTACATTGTCTCATCTCGACGTTTGCTTGGCTTTCGCGTCGTTGACATTTATCTGCATGCAAAAGCAGCATCAACAATTGCTGGACGAATCTACATTCCTCTGGATCAATTGTCGATTTCGCGCCTAAACGTCCCAGATAAAGTTTGCATTGAACAAAGATGTTACACAAGTAATACGATTTACAATAGTATAAGATGAACTTACCTGTTGAAGTACCAGTATTAGCCATTTGTCCTTGCGTAGCTTGCTGCGGACCTGGCTGTCTTCCGGTCGGCGTACTCAATTGAGATTGAGCCGGACTTGGTGCTGAGAGTTGTGCCTGTTGTGCTGCTGCTTCACCTTCTTGACTATCCATAATGTTCTTAGTACCAATTGAATCAGCAGTGCAGACAAATCTGCTGGCGGTGCCTCTCGCTTGCATGGGACTCGTATTCGTTCCTATGCCCTTTGATTCAGTTTGACAGCTAGGAAACAATTGGCCCATCGTAATCCCTTGCACAATGCTAGGTGATAACGGTAGCAATGGCGATAACTTTTTCAATCTATCGAAAGCCGTTTGTCAATGCTGTAGCTTTGTCAACAATTTTGTCGTTATTGCTATCGCTATCGTTATCACCTAGCACTGTGTAAGAGACTTTATAGTTTTGAAAGAAAAATGCAGAAAGAAAAAAGTAGTTAATAGATTTTTATAACAAACGTGTAATATATTTTTTTCTATATTGTATTTAAAACGCCCCCCTTGGTGGAAATATATCTTAGAATTTTTTACATCATTAAATCAGTATTTCTATAAAAATTTTCATATTTTCTCAGAATACTCTGAATATTTCAGATTTTTTTATACGAATTATTGGAACGTTTTTCAAGAAAATTCGGACATAATAAAAATAAAATTTTTTTCGCCAATATATTTTGGTAGAAATCTGATTAAATATGAGAAAATCTGTAAAATTTATCAGAAATTTTCATACATACAAATACTGAAATATTCCGAAAATCTTCATCCAATTATTTCGAAAAGTATCTGAGAAATTTTATATATTTTTTCACAACTTTTTATAAGTTCCAATTTTTGCAAAATTTCTGAGAAAATATGAGAAATGTTTTCACCAGGGCCGTTACCCCTAACCTTCTCAGGTTTTTTTTTACACTTCTACTTTACTCTTTCCGTTTGGGGGAACAGGTCGCATATTCTTCGCGCGTTAACTTGCTTTCTTTTAATTACTTACTTATATTATACAGCCTTGGTTGAACTATAACTATATTACTGTGCCTATTTCTCCTAGCAAGATTCACACATGCAACGGTGCAACGTTACTTACCATAACTTACTCCGTGCTCCCGTGTTTGAATTTGAGGTTATATGTGGTTATGAGATATAAGCGAGCAGAGCGAGCGAACATGGAGCATGGAGCGAATAAACATTTGCTGTGCTACCATCTAGTGGGAACAAATCTATCTATATCTTGAAATTAGCTTTCCAGCAAGCGGACACAGGTCGACACAAACGTCGTTCTATATTTCTTTTTTCGCAACGAGTAACAAAGACAAAACGACAATTGTGTCACTTGCTTTAAAGCTTCGAACATTTACTTCAAATCAAATGATTGAAGTGCACGTAAACTTGTCACGACTTTTATTTCAAATGCTTCTAAATAAGCTACTTGTTACATATATTAACTTAGTCGCTCTTGTCGAACTGCAACATTTATTGCTTGTATCTGTCAAGCAATAAATTCGTGTAGATTTGCAGAGTAATAATGTTGCTCGAGAATGGAGAGGAAAAATTCTTTCCAAAATAAATAGAATATAAAAGCATCCATATATTATTGGTATACATTGTACATCATGATTCATATTTTATTGATAAATAAGGCCATTAGACAGTGAGCGGTGATACAGTCTGCGTCGTCGATGTCGCAATACCATCGTCATTAAGTGTGGAAGCTGACAACGATTGAATTGAGAATTGTTTCTATTGCTGCTGCAGTTGTTGCGGCTGCTGTACACTTGGTTGTAACATCCCGCTAAACGATGCTTGCGAAATTGACATTATCAGAGTATCGACATGGCTCGGAGTATTTGTTGTTGCTGCCTTTATTGCAGTTGCTGTGCTGCTTGACAACATAGATTGGGCCCACTGCCTTGGCCTCGGTCAATCTAACTTTCATAAGATCAGGGAACTGATGTTGATTCTGAATAAAACTATTGAGCAAACCGGCAGCCACGCCATTGGAAGCTGGAAATTAACTAGATGTCGCGTTCTTGAACACAGTGGTGGTCGTGAGATTAGCCTGGGACATTTGAGGTCGTCCAAATGGGCTGAGTCCAGGATTAGGGATTAGGCACCATATTGACGTTGAATTAATGTGGATTGCCCGTTCGGGCTAGAATCGGAAGGATTCCTTGTAGTTGTTACTGGATTTGCTGTTGGCGTTGGCTGTTCTCCTGCTGTGGGAACTGCATCCTGTTGTATTGCTGAATTGACCATCGCTGATATCGTTCCGAGTTT